CACACACGGAAGGAAGGAGAAAAATGACCAATAGAAAGAAAGAAATGCATGCATGATAAAAGCATGCAAACTTTGATAAAAGTTTAAATGAAGGAGGTGGAGGTTTTAGCCTGAGATAATTTTATCCATGGAAGTGGCCCTTGCAAACAGGTAGAATCTGAGCCTGACAGTGTTGAGACACTGAAAATGGATGTGGCGGTCCATGTGCAAAGAAGGAAAAATACAGTGAATGGCATTCTGAACATTGAATGGACAGTAGAGGAGGAAGGCATCAACTCTGACTGGGAAAGGAGGAGACAGTGGGTCAGGGTAAGGTTTACAAAAGTCTGAACAAAGAGTGAAAGAGTCTTTGCACTGAGATCCATCACATCAGAGGAAGAAATCGCTCTAGTCTTACATCACACATCCCATGAGAAAACTCATTCCTATCTCTCTTTCATGGAACCAGGAAAGTCACTCGCCTCTCCTTCTATCTGCCTGAGACCGAAGGGCTAGTCATTCAAGGCCTTGGATCTGACGCCCCGGATAGGTCAAATGGGGAGACCCATCTCAGTTGAGAGACTGGCATCTGGCCATGTCACTCAACCAAGAGAATGTTCTTTCTGTAACTAAAGGGAGTTAACTCCCAATGAATGTTTGTTCTATTTGTCCTGAGTTTGTTTCCTATCTCCCAGGATATTTCAGAAGCCGCTCCTTATGGTCTAAGCTGCAGGGCTAATTTATGTCTGTTTGCTCTGGAATCCAATCCTCCCTCTCATGCAGACGGAACTTCAGATTTTTGGTCCTTCAAAATGACCAACCCTGGCTGGCCCTGCCCTGTGTCTATGGCCATCATACGATCTCACTGCTTATCTTTCAGTGAGCTTCAGGGACCTTAGAATATGCTGGATCTGCTTATTTTTGCCATTCCACTGTTTCTGCACAAACAGTGGTCTGCCTGTGACCTCAAACTGTTTTCTTACTACTGCCCCGTTCTTTCCTGGGAAGGCCCTGTGCTGGTTTGCACTGTCCCAGCAGACACAAGGCTTCCACTGCCATTTTCAGGACAAGTATCACAGCTAGCAGGCTCTTAGGGCTCACTGAGGTACATGGAGAAGCAAGCCTGTTCCAGGATGAAATGGGATTTGGCTCTCAGGACTTGGATACTTTCATACTAAGTACTTTGTCGCACAAATAATGCTCCCAAGAGTCAAAATCAGAAAGAATGACCCTGAGGACAATGCCAAGGTAGAAAACAGTAAGAGATAAGTGTTGGGCTATTTCCCAGGGAGCCTAGGTTTTAAAGTCTCATATCACTGCTTTTTACTCCACCCTTTATCAAACATTTTATGCCCTGACCAGCTTTCTTCATGGGCTGGGTTACAGATATTTTTATAAATTTTTTCTGGTGTTCAGATTTACTTCACACAAATAGCCCATGCCTGTAAATGCTTTAGCATTCACCCAATATAATGACTGTTTCTATGGAGTGAGATACCATGCAGCATGCTATAAAGTAGAGTCATAACTGGGTCACCCATGAGAGGGAAACCAAGGAATTAAAACTCAACTGTTTGCCAGTTGTTGGTGGTGCACACCTTTAATCCCAGCACTTGGGAGGCAGAGGCAGATCTCTGTGAGTTCGAGGCCAGCCTAGTCTACATGTAGAGTGAGTTCCAGGACAGCCTCCAAAACAATACAGAGAAGCCCTGTCTCAAAAGAACCAAAATAAATAAATAAATAAATAAATAAATAAATAAATAAGTAAGTAACTCTTCTAAATCCCCGAAGAGAAGCATAGTAGTTGAAAAGCTCACAGTAATTTTGCCTACATATTATTTTCAGCTATACTTCTAGGGGAGATAAAGAAGTCATTTTGAGATGACACAGAATTTCCAGGAGCAATGGTCAGGGGAGCATTCTGAGCATAAAGACAGGTACAGAAGCAGGAGAGTGCGGCGTTCATCCAGGGAGCAATGATCAGTCTGGTCTTCCGTACAAGGCAGAGTAGGAAGGGCAAATGGCACACATATTTCAAGACAAGTGGAGGAAATCATTAAAAGCCCAACACACTTGTCCTGACAGACCAGATACCCCAGCCACTGGTAATATCAGGGCGAAGAAGAATTAACAGCCATTTCAAGATCCAGCACAGATTCGTCTTTAGCCTTGGTCCACTTACACCAGCTGGCCTCCTCCCTGGGGTTTTCCATGTTCGAGCTCCTCTGCATGGACCCCACCTCACTGCAGGCAGCCTTGTGGATAGCTCCCTCCTAACATTCTGTACATTTTTTGAAAGGATAGTAATTACTTTATAACAAAAAACATGCAATTCATAAAACCAGGCATTGTGGTGAACACACACCCTTAGTCCCAGTTACTCACGGAGCTGAGGAAAAAGTCATTTGTACCCAACTATTTGTTGAAAATACAACAACTCCTTTACTCTGCTCCCCACCAAAGGGAGATATTGATGCTATATGTCCCATTGATAAGGTAAACATCTGGTCCTTAATTCTTCATTTTCCCCTCCATGAACCTCTCCCTCCAGCTGTCCCAAAGATGGTCACTTTTTAAATCTACTAATGCATTTTTGCTTTCTAACAGCACTTCCAGGTTATTTTACTTATGTCACTATGGTTTATAGTTTGCCACCTCCCAATCAAATATAAACTTAACCTGAACAAGCAAAGGTAACAGGGTTGTACCTACCAGAATGCCTGACAAATAGGTACTGATTAATTGTCCTCACAACCTTATAGATATATGCTACCTATCACAGAATTCATTCATGCAAGTATACTGTCCTTGTTGGGTTTGTAGTTGTTTGTTTATTGTTGTTTGTCAACTTAGACACACCTGGGAAGAAGGAATCCTAACTGAGAAAAACGCCTTCATCAGATTGCCCTGTAGGGCAAGCCTGTAGGGCATTTTCTTGGTTAATGATTGATGCAGAAGTGCCCTGCTGACTATGGCCAGTGTGGCCACTCAGCAGTGATCCCGAGCTGTACAAGAAAGTGGGGTAATCAAACCATCAGAAGCAGGCCAGTAAGCAGAGTTCCTCAGTTCTTGCCTCCAGGTTCCTCCTCTGACTTCCCTCGGTAGTAGAATGTGACCTGAGAGCTGTATTAAACTCTTTCCTCCCCACATTGCTTTTGACCACAGCAATAGATACCCTAACTAAGACATATACTATCCAGTGGCTTTATTCAGAAATATTGAAAAAGGAAATGCCGCTGTACATTGTGTCAAATGACTGCAAATCCCAGCAGTGGGAGGTAGAGTCAGGAGGATTGGAGTTCAGGATCATCCTTGTGCTACATAGTGTTTGGGGGCAGTCTGGAATATGTCACCCTCTCTCAGAAAACAGAAAGAGGACACGGCAATCAATTAGAAGGCATTTTGATTACCATTGCTTATCAACTTTTCCCTTCTGCTTCAACGGATTTTGTAAATGTGAATTTTGCAGAAACAGAATTCATGATTGTCTTGTTTGGCATAGCATTCAAGGTTCCTGTAGCAAATCCTAAGTAATCTACAACTTTTTCTTAGAAAGCATTGAAATTGACGGTTGTTGCCACTCCCATGTCCAACTCAAGCTCGAGCTCGCGCGCACACACACACACACACACACACACACACACACACACACGAGAGAGAGAGAGAGAGAGAGAGAGAGAGAGAGAGAGAGAGTTTAGTGCAGCTAGACTAGTCCCAGTGATGAGGGATAAAAGATAGAAATTGGTTGGGTAGTTTAGATTAAGAAGGCACCAAAAAGTACAAAGCCTTTGAGAATGGCCATGTAGCTCTGCTAATTTCATCCAATTTTCTTAGTCCTTACTCACAAAAGCATAACTTTTTCTTCTTTCCCATCTTTCTTTCAGATACCGGCCAACACCAAAGCACCAAAGCTTTCTCTAGCCCTCCAGGCTTTCTTACTTCCTCTGAAGCTCCTCTTCCACTACAGAGGTGCTTGCTGCCACATGGTGGCTTGCTGACCCCCACTGCTGAACATGCCAGCCTAACTCAAAAGGCAGGAATGCTTCCTCCCTTCTTCCTCTACAGATTCCAAACCCAATCCCTCTCAGAACACACTCTACAACTGCCACGGTTTACAGCTTGCCTGTCTTGCTGTTCTTTCCCAAACACTAATAAAAACTGTTGTTGAGTTTCCCCTGAGTCCATTTTTAAATTCTTTTTATTAACGAGACTAAACCCCCTTGCTGTTCTTTCCCAAACACTAATAAAAACTGTTTCCCCTGAGTCCATTTTTAAATTCTTTTTATTAACGAGACTAAACCCAAAGAGGGGACCTTAATTTCCTCAGTAATGCATGGTGCCCAAACCTTCCAGTAACACCAGCATAAGCAATCAGTACCATTCTAATTTTGCAGTTATAGATATTTGCCTGCTCTGGGATTATCTCCCCACCCCTGCACTAGTGTGCATGACCAAGCTTTATTTTGGTTGAGAAGCTTCAATTAGAGAAAACAAGAGACAAGCCTGGGAACATCAATATGGAGAGAATGCTATATTTTCACAGCTGTACCAGTGTCTCAGTATAGAAAAATACCATTTCTTTTATGTATGAATATTATTACAAAAAAGTCAGCCCCACCATTTTTTCCTTAGAGAGCTTTGAAACTGTTGTTTGTCACCACCCTCATCTCTAACACACACACATACACACACACACACACACACACACACACACACACACACACACGAGAGAGAGAGAGAGAGAGAGAAGAGATAGAGAGAGAGAGAGAGAGACTGGAACACTGGAAAACCATCAAGGAAAGGCTTGCTTTTAATAAATCCGAGTTTCAATACTGGCATGGTATCCAAAGTATAATTTTCCCAATAGAGAATTAACCACTCAGATAATGCACAGAAAATTACACTAGGAACTTAATGCTTCCTTTGTAATTCTAACTCTAAATTAACATACAGATTAACATACAAATGCAAACAAGATTAACCTATAGAATAGAGTAATCCTAGAATGTTATGTATTCCAGATCTTTTTGGACTCTCAAGAGTGATGATTAGATGTTCACATCATTGTGTGATATTCCTCTCTCACACCTTGTTTTGATGTCAGCATATTACCCATCTGACATGAAAAAAAGTGAACACTCTATAAATAAATTTAAAATCCATATCCTACAGGCAGTAAAACTCAGAACAAGAATACATAAAGCAAGCAACATGTTGAGTACTCTGCTTCACTGTGCTACATGAAATATGTATATACAGGTCAGGGTATGTGAATTTGAATAAATTATAATTATCTAACATAATTCAGAGATGGAAATCGGATGATATGACTACCTATGCTGAAGTAAATTATATATGATATAGTACATACCATTTAAAAATCATCCTTTAAGGCAGGTGTGGTAGGATACACCTGACCTGTCATCCCAACACTTGGGAGGCAGACACAGGAGGATCACTGTGAGTTGTGAATACTCTATAAATAAATTTAAAATCCATATCTTACAGGCAGTAAACTCAGAACAAGAATACATAAAGCAAGCAACATGTTGAGTATTCTGCTTCTCTGTGCTACATGAAATATGTATATACAGGTCAGGCTATGTGACATTTGAATAAATTATAATTACCTAACATAATTCAGAGATAGAAAGCGGATGATATGACTACCTATGCTGAAGTAAATTATATATGATATAGTACATACCATTTAAAAATCATCCTTTAAGGCAGGTGTGGTAGGATACACCTAACCTGTCATCCCAACACTTGGGAGGCAGACACAGGAGGATCACTGTGAGTTTGAGGCCAGCCTGGACTCCACAAAGAAAAGCAGGCAATCTTGGACTCCACTGTGAGTCCTTGTCTGTCAAACGTTATATAGTTATTGCCTCCAAACTGAATTAGTCCTTTCTGAAGAGAAGAGCACAGCTCATAAGATTCATGAAACTAATGAAACCCACAAGGCTCAGGAAATTCCTAAGAGTTACAAGATTCACAAAACCCTTTCCCAAGTAGTCAGCACTCAAAGACAAGAGTATTTAGTGGGCTTGTCTGCATGTTGTACCAGGAGCTTCAGGGATGCAGTTTTCTTGAGTAGTCACCCATGCTAGGATGGGCTTTTTGGTGATGCAACTGCCCTTGAGTCATCCACACTCCTGTAAACAACCCCTCACTCACATTCCTATAATTAACTCTTGTAAACTCACTCATTCAATAAAACAGATTGATATAAAAATAGTTTCTTTGGTTTGTCATGTGTGCCCTACCTAAGGTGAAGAGACATTTGTTCATGTCTCCCCAGGAAGCGTCATAACACTGAAAGAAAAAAAGAAATCAACTTTAAGTATTATTTCTGCTTTTACAATCTCTGTGTACACTGTTTCTTCTATATTGAATGCTCAACACAATCCTCAGTTTTTAACTCAAATAAGAAAAAACACATTGGGAGTTGAAAGCAATCACCTGGGTGTCTGCCTTTATCCCTTAAGTTGGTACAGGACCTGCAGTGCAAATAATAGCACATCGTAGTGGAAAGCAGAGATAATGCCTACAGTTATCCAAGGAGAATTGAAATGTGAGGCAAACTTCACATTTACCAGCCCAGTGGGTGCACCAACACAAATCACTTCAACCCCTGTCTTACCCACACTGATAACCCTTTCCAGCAACTCAGCCTCAATTTATTGACTCCTTTCAACCTACCAGCTCTCTCTCTCTCTCTCTCTCTCTCTCTCTCTCTCTCTCTCTCTCTCACACTCCCACACACCCACACACACACACACAAATAAATGAGGCCATATTTCCTGATCCTTCCCAAATAGTTCCACGAACTGGTGACTATGTGTTCAAATACCTGAGCCTATGGAAGCCATTCTTATTCAAGCCACCACAGCCTGCATGTATGTGGGTTCCCCTGAACTAGCCATCCATTAGTTTTTGAATTTACAGCCCTACACCCACCCTATTCCTTTGTCCCTATCAGTTACCTCTCCATCTACACACTATTCAGTCATTTCAGAACAGTATTCCTGTGTTCAGGAACTACTGCTCCCTAGTTCCTACAGAGTCTTTTTTGCCTTCCCTTTCACCTGGTAAATTCTACCTCTCTGATATGAAGAACAAAATGATGCAAAACCAATCAATGGCTCATTTCTTTTACTAGTCTGTCTGATCAATACCTACAAGCAGCAAAAACCATGTTTCTTTCTTTTTTTGTTTTTTGTTTTTTGTTTTTTTCTTTTTCAAGACAGGGTTTCTTGGTGTAGCTTTGGAGCCTATCCTGGCACTCGCTTGTAGACCAGGCTAGCCTCGAACTCATAGAGATCCGTCTGCCTCTTCCTCCCGAGTGCTGGGATTAAAGGCATGCACCACCACTGCCCAGCTCCTCTAGTTTTTCTACACTAAACACCATGACAGTTCTAGGCAGGTTCATTGTTTGGAAATTCATTTCATGGTGGGCTATATTTTTTATGAATTTCCTAAAAATATTTCAAACACTGGAGCATCCAGACATCACTTCCACGCAGTCCCCTGCTCTGTAGGTGCTCTTCACCTGTTCAGTGGCTAATGAGATCACTTCCTTTCCATCCCAACATGAACACCTCTGATTCGCCACTCACCTGCCATTCCTGTGAATTCAGAAGCACCACCCTCTCTCTCTCTCTCTCTCTCTCTCTCTCTCTCTCTCTCTCTCTCATGCATCCCTCTACCTAAGCTCTTTGTGCCTCCAGTCTAACATATCTACTATGCTTTGGAGTGTTCTGGCTGCTGGCAACATAAATGTGATGAAAATGAAGAACTAAACTGTACTCAAGGAACTCACTGGCGAGTGGAAGGATAAAGGTCTAACTGTATATGTACACACATGTACACACGGGGTCATCGTCATTTCTTTTCTAATCTTGAACATGTTTGAGAGTGAAAGTGCCCATGAAAAGAAATTGGTGGAGTCAAATGAGCTAATGGAGGTTGAAACAACTTTTCAAAGAAGATGAACTGACATTTATTATTGATTAATTATATAACATGTGTTGGGTGCTATTTTAATCCTCACAGCAATACTGTGAGGAAGAATAACGTTATTATCTCCTTTTTACACATGAGGAAACCTAGGCACAGAAAGCTTAGGGTGATTGCCTAGAGTCCTCCAGCTTAGAAGCAATGGCATTAGGGCCTTTGCTCCTGTACCTATGTCCTAACTACAGTATGTTGATGAGAAAAAGATGGACAGCATATAGGAAAGTCAGTAGAAGCAGAAGTGCGGGTAACGGCTATGCGCTTGCTTTGCATGGCCTCGCAACCCAACTCCCAGCTGTACAATAGAGCACTTGCTAAGAACTCTGGAGACCCCGTTACTATTATTCTCACCCTGCTGGACTCTCCTGATCGCGCACCTCACTGCTGCAGATCTGGGTGGTCACACCTCTCTTTTGGATCCTCCTAGACTGCCCCGTCCTGCTCTGCTTTCCCCTTCATCCACAGCCTTGCTCCTTTGCTGACTAAATGAGGGCATTCCTCTGTTTTTTAGACACAGTCCCCCTGCTCTAGGCATGCATATGTCATCCCTTGGCAATTCATTTTCACAGTGCACTTCCTACAAACTTGCACAGTTCACGTGGAGGTGGATGAGGGGCAAAGTCTACCCGCAGGGATCTTTACTTCTTTCCTGGGCTAAATACTGCCCCACCCATTGGAAGTTTCACTGCACCTGCCCTTCAATTGTATGTCGAGTCTGGAGGGATACAAGCCAGCTATTCTGACACCGAGTGAAATGAATGGTAGGTACCACGGATGAGAAGGAAGAGGAAATGGTATGCGTTCAAAAAGAGCAGTGTTCATAGGATGAAACACTTAGGGATGTGAGGCACCACAGGAACACTACAGGAATAATATAGCATTATTTACTGAAAGCTGGCAGCTTAAAGACCAAATTTTAGGTACTCTTGTTAGAAAATAAATAGGCTGAAGAGACGACTCATTGGATAATAGTCTGTATGGCTCTTGCACATAACCCAAGTTCAGTTCCCAGCACCCATGTTGGGCAACTGTCAACCATCTGTAACTTCAGGTCTAGATGAGCTTGGTGGCTCTGCCTTCTGCTGGCACCTGTATTCACGTGCAAACACACCCACACAGGCACACACAGACACAAAAATTTTTCAAGTAAAATAATCTTAATAAACAAATTAAAGAGCTCCGAAGAGATGTGAAAATGACAGATTTGCTAGGCGTTGGTGGCGCACGCCTTTAATCCCAGCACTCGGGAGGCAGAGGCAGGTGGATCTCTGTGAGTTCGAGACCAGCCTGGTCTACAAGAGCTAGTTCCAGGATAGGCTCCACAGGGAAACCCTGTCTCGAAAAACCAAAAAAAAAAAAAAAAAAAAAAAAAAAAAAAAAAAAATTATTTGTTTTTTTTTTTATAAAACATTTTTTGTATATATCTACACAT